TAAGACCCGGGCCGGCGGGGCGAGCGGAGGAGAAGCGGCCGTTCCGCAGCTGCCGCCGGCCCCACTTCCGCGGCGGGGCGCGCAGGGCGGGCGCTGGATGCGGGGGGAGGCGGGCGGTTGCCGAGCGGGTCCCCGCGCAGCGGCGCGGAGCGGGGCGCGATGAGCGCGGGCAGCGGAGCCGCCGCCGCGGCCGGGACCGCCACCTCCGCCCTCTGCCTCCTCCTCTCCCTCACCGCCGTGGCCGTCTCCCTGCTGCTGGGCGCCAAGACGGCGGAGCTGCAGGGCCGGTTGGCCGCGCTGGAGGAGCGGGGCGCCGCCGGACACGGGCCGCTGCTGGACGCGCTGCAGCCACGCGTGGAGCGGATCTTCCGCGAGGTGAGTGAGGGGCCCCCGCGGACCCCACGGGCGGGACCCGGTGAGGGGGGGGGAGAAGCCCGGGGAGGGAGCTCCGGTCCGGTGCGGGGAGCCCCGGGCTCTCCCCCTCTGCCACCGGCTTCGCTCTCCCTGTGGAGAAACTTCCCCTTTGGAAAAACTTACTCCCTTTTACCAAACTCCTTCTTTTTCAAAATTTTTTTTTTTTTCCCCCTTTTCTCGCCGCTGCCGTTAATCAGACCGCGGGGCGAGGCGGGGCAAAGCCCGTCTGGTTTTAGCAGGGCTAATGCCCCAGGTGGAAAGGCGAGCAGGGTAATCACCTCTGAGAACACGCCGCTCTCTCCCTCATTCTATTCACTGGCAAAAGGTAACCCGAGCGCTTAAATACTGTTTATCTTTGGATGTAATGGACTATAATTTCCTTGTTAGAAATTTATGAACATGATCCCTGTTATCTGGACTGTCTATCACAGGGTATCATGTGGTCCAGCGGTGCTGAACTGATTTATGGCGGGTAGAGAAGACTAACAACTGGTTACTTCGCTTTCAGTCCCAGGGTTTTCTGAAATTACTCAATAAAGATTTCAGTGCTGAAAGTTTTCTCCTGCTTAGAGGACGATTATCCGCACTGACACCCTTCTCCGTAACTAAACCAAATCTCTGGGAGAAGTTACGCTTGATCCCAGGGTTGTATTTTTCCCCCGACTCTGATGTTTAGGTTTGGGGCTTTTTACGGGCAAAGGGGGATGGGGAGGGCTCCCATCGCTCAGGGGAAACACTTGAAGATCCTGCAGTTGGTTTGCTGGATTTGTGTAAACAGTAGTTCATAAAGCACAGGAAAATCCAGCACGGCTTAGGGAGCTGCTGCGGGACGCTCCCAGTGATCGATTCTGACATCTGGGGAAGGTTTTACACTGGGATTTTATTAACGGCCTGACTGGGGTGCAAAACACGGCACGGCATTAAAATCCTTACAGCCATGAAGCCTCAATCGTGCAAAAATGTATTTTTTTTTTTTATGCAGTGCCTTCCAGCTGCGAGCGGCTCTGGGGAGAGGGGTGGGACGGAGGGGGGATGGGGACACAGTCCCTCCTGCTGCATCTTACTGTTGGGAGTTAACAGTGAGGGCACTGCTGGCACCACTGCAGCGTGTCCCTCCTCCTGGAGACTTGGTGGATGTGCCTTGATAAAAGGGAAATGCTAAAAAATATTTTTTTTGTGTGTGTGTGAAAACCCTGAATACCAGAACAGAGGGGTGCTTGTGAGGCGTAATCCCAAAACCTAGTTAACGTCTTTTTCTCTAGGCAGGAATTAGCCTGCCAGTCGTGGCAGTGGTTCTCTTCCAATTACTCCAATAAATGTGCTTAGCAATGGGAATGGTTTCTGTGGCACTGCCTAAGATCATGTGCAACCTCTTGCTGAGATTTAGTTAAGTGTGGAAAGCTTGTTTTGTACTGGGAACGCTCAGATGGAGATTGTACAGGGGGAAATAAAGCAAAACCACATAATTGGGTCTCTAATGCAAGAGTGAGCTTGTTGAAACATTTAGTATGCCCAAACTTTTGTCAATACTGCAAGCAAATTTTGAAACGAGTTACAGATTGAAGGAAATGCATGGTTGCGATTGTGCTATCTATTAACAGTCATTTGAAATGAAGTTATTCATCTATATTAAAGTTTCAGAAAGTGTCTGTTTCTTGACCGAACTCCTCTCTGTTACATAAGCCCCTCGCCCATCGGGTGACTTCTGTCCTCTCTGTGCTTGGGAGTTTCTGGAGAGAGCGAGAGAATATTTCCATCATCATGAACATCAACTGGTGCCTGGGGTCAGTTGGTTTTTTTGGGGTTTTTTTGTTAAATTCTGCGTTGGTCCTCCTTTGAAGTTTACCACAACATTTCAGAAGCGAAACCAAAGCTCCATACGCTCCCTGTGCATGACCCAGCAGACTTTTGTTCTCTGTCCCTGCCCAAAAAGCATTACCCCATCTCCCGACCCAGGGCTTTGCCGGCGTAATTTATGGCAAAGCCACATAGAAAGAGCAGCAGCTACAACACCAACACGCTGGCTCTGTTCCTTCCAGTGTTGTTTAAAGGTTTGGCAAGTAAAAGAGGATAGGAAATAACAAAGGAAGGGTGAGTGTGTAGTTAAGGCAATGAAAGCCGATTTGGACAACTAGGATTTAGTTTCTGGCCCCGTGACAGGCATCCGTCTGACTTTGGAGAAATCGTTGATTTTCACGTGGTGGGACCTTGCCCTTCCCTTGGATGTTCCTTTAGTGGGATGTGCTGTGGGGTCTTGCTTTAATGCCCCCCGAAACAGCGTGGTCCGACTGCGGCAGCATCTCCACTTGCTCCACCTCAAAAGCCCCAGTTTGGAGCACGTGGTTTTCGTACTGGAGGGAAGATGTTAACGGGAGGATTATAGAAGCATCCAGTTGTTGTAAACAAAGCTGGACCGTTTTGTTCACAAAGGATTTATTGTCCACGGTAGGGAGAGAGTGTCCAGATTAATCAGTTTCATGACAAGAACAATTCAATGGGAGAACAGAGGACTCGCTCCAGGATTCAGGATTCAGACCCCTCTGCCGTTCCCAGCGCTGCCGCTGAACTAAAAGGATAGAAGAACTTATTTTAATTTCCTCGAGCATCTTCATCATCCAAATTACTTTAAAATAAACACAGAAAAATTGAGCAACTCTCTAACATTTAGCCTGGCTGTCAGAAAAGCCCCTTTAGATACTTCCTTGCCGCTTTTTCTCAAGGAAAGCAGACACGCTGCAGGAGGCAGCTGGATCGTTCTGCTTTTCAGGTTTCCCTCAGGACAACTCCTCTGTCAGGTGCTATGAAACCGTGTTGATGCTTTCAGGAGCTCTTAGCATCATATCTGAGCAGCTAGAGAGGAATTCTAGCATAGGATTCCAACAACAGATAAAACCACTTAATCCCCAGAATAGAAGGAAAAGAGCCAAATTCACAGGTAGCCTAATAGTCCACGGTGTTCAAGTATTTGCACACAGACTGGGTCTAATTCCCCAATAGTCCATGGTGTTCAAGTATTTGCACACAGACTGGGTCGCCAGCAGTATAAAATTCAAGTCTGAACACCCTGAATTCAGTAAGTACTTTGAATTTTCTCTCTTTGAAATGTAGGGACTCCAGTTATCAGATTATTGGTTTCTCTCCTGGTAAATACTTTAGGTGAGACAGGGCATTCCTGGAGGACTGAGAGTGTGAGGATTGTGGGTGAAGATGAGCTGTTCCCACCCGTGCTGGGCTGCCCCAGCCACGAAGCCTGAGCTAATATAACTTACCTGTCATCAGGGCTTATTAACTTGGGCTTGGCAGTGTCCTGAGTGCAGGCACGAACATTTTGGTTGGCTTAGAGAGCAGGCAGAGTGCGCTCACATCTGCCTGCAATATGCCACGTAGACATTGCTTCAGTTTTGTGAATTTTTTATGCATTTTGGTAGTCCCACTGAGGAGCTTTGCACCTTGGAGATGGTAACGCTGGGCTCTGTGGGATCTGGGGGTGGGTGAGCACCCTGGGCTCAGTGGCAATGTGAACCCCGCTGTCCTTCCTCTCCTTGCCCCTCTCCTAAAGAAACCTGTAATACTCCACATAGCGGGAATTTTAAGTCCAAAATCAGCTGAATTGGGTCACATCTGTTGTGCAAACATCACCCTGCCATGTAACCTCCAGGGTGCTTGGAAGCAGCTTTGTGTTTGGTGGCAGCAGGGCTTTCCCCCACTGCTTGCCCGGCTGCCAGGGGTGGCCATGGTGGAGCAGAGGGGCTCGCTCTCCCCCATGCACCGTTACTGCCACCAAACACGCCGAGATGACGCTGACATTTGAACCTGGGACTTGCTGTATCTGCTCAGGAGGAATCCAACCCACGGTGCTTGTCTCAAAGTGACTTTTGGGATGTGTAGGAGCCTCTCTCTGCCCCGTGCGATGGTTGTAGACTGGCTGGTTGCTCAGAAACATTTCATATTTTGTGTGCTGCTACTACTGCCCGGGGTATTAGCCAAAGAGGCTGAATGCAACGGGGTGAAACTATGACCTGTGGCTGGAAGGAAGCGCACTGGAAGGTTTGGCTGTTGGCGTGCTCACACAGCCCCTATTTAGACGTAACGTATTCTCTAAATGGCTATTTTTCATTCCTCCTCCAAACAGAAGCTGGGTGAAGGACTGGCGAAGCTGCGGACGGCGAGAGAGGCTCCGTCAGACTGCATGTGCCCCCCAGGTAGGTGCAAAGATACCGGCACCGCCACCACCAGCCTGCCCGGGAGCCGCCTGCTCGCTGGACCCACGCCACCAAGCTCCTCTTTTCCTGTTTTATATATTCCTCCCTATCAAGGAAAATGCACTAAGAAGTGCTTTTTTTTTCCAAGCTGAAGCACTCTTCTTGTGCTTGAGACTGTTGACTTCTGCCATTGCCTTGCTTTGGCCTGTTTACAGATAAAGGAGTTTGAGGTTTGGACAAAAAGCGGTGTTTGGCTATAAGAATAAAGGAGCGAATAGCTTTACTCGGTTGTGAGCCCAGGGTGTGGGGCCAAAACAATTTAGAAGTAGTAACAAAATCACTGGGGCTTAATGCAAGTGTGATAATTAAAAGCTGCAGCCTCTCTGCCTTTTCGGAGGGTAGCGACTGCCTTGCTGTATGAAAGCTGTCACTGATTGTTTAAATTTCCTCCCAGAGTTTAATGAACTTCTTAAACTGTCAAAACTTCCTGTTCTGCTGTGGAAGTGCATGCTCCTTGGAAACAATAAACAGCTTAGATTAGTTGGTAAAGGAATCTCATTTATAGAAATGCTCCGTTAAGTGCTCTGCTGTCATACCGAAAGCCATGAATGGCTTTTGGGCTGAGGCACTTCAAGCCTTTTCTTTTCTTTCTTTCCTTTTTTTTTTTTTTTTTTTTTTTTTTCAGATTTAAACCTTTTTTTTTTTTTTTTTTGTTTTTTTTTTTTTTTTTTTTTCTTTTCAGAAATGTAGGGAAACATGGGTGAAAGATGTGCCGGGCTTTGATGGGGGAGAATGCTTAGGCGTGTTACAAAGCCTTGCAAGCAGCAGATAGTTCAATTCTGGTTTTAAATTAAAAAAACCAAACTTTGAATGCTATGGGTAGATGCAGAATAGGCAAACAGGGCAGCCTCGGGTTTCCCTGCCATCCTGGACATGAATCCTGCCAGCACACACGGTGCTAGTCCAGACTCACAGGACAAAAAAGATGTACTTTTTTCCTTGTAAGATTATGTGTAATAACACCAGAAACGTTTCAGTAACGATGCTTTTAAATGTGCTGCTGCAGTTGTACTCGCTGGTTTTCTAGTGGAGGGCTCCTATGGGTGCCCTGTGCCCCTCGCTGCCTTCTAACCAAACCCCGCCACCTGAGACACAAATCGTGCTTATTTCCAGCTCTCCAGACACTGCTGGTCAAATTAGTTTCCCTCCTTCTGATACGTGGACCCAACCAAGTCCACCAGCCTCTCGGGGCTCCATGGGCTGCATCTCGCTCCTGTCTGCAACTGTGGCACCGCTGGTGGGCTTAAGTGTCAAGAGGCTTTTCCTTTGCTCTGCAGAAAGCACTTCGGATTGAAGAGGCTCCTTTGTGGCCAGGAAAATCCCAATTCGGTTCTGGGTCACTGGGTTTGCTGGTTGCTGCATTTGAGAGATGTGGGGAAGAGAGGAGGGGGAAGGTTCTCCCACGCGCTACTGAAGTACTCGTTAAAGTCATTAGTAACGAATGTCAAAGTAATTTGTGAGCCGAAGGAAGGAGAAGTGCTTTCCTGGTGGGTAGGAAATGTCATGGCATCAGTGGCTGCTCCTGGCTACCACCATTTGGGAGTCAAAGACTGTGCTAAGGTGAGGATGCTCTGCTGAGCTGTCATGAAGCCTTTCAGATATTTTTGAGCAAATCAAAGGAATCTTTATACGTATTTCTTGTTTCTTTTTTTTTTTTTTGTCTTTCTCCTGGAGAAGACTGAGTTTCCTTCTGAGCTGTAGATAAAGAGCTTGGTCAGGAAATGTCCCGAGAGCTTGTTGCCCTCACTGGCATTTGCTGCAGAAGTTTTTCAGGTTGCAAACTAACAGCTAAGCTGCAACTTGCCTCCATGCACCTAAAAAGCAGCCACTGAGGAGAAAATCTCCTCCATGGAGGGGACAGAGAGATGGGGAGATCTGCCAGCTCTGCCCATGGGCAGGGAGCATCACCAGCATCTGCAGCCCTGCTCCTGCTTCCCTGGGGCAGCTGGAAGCTGGTGGGTAACCCCTGGGCTGGGGGGGGCTTTTCTCCCCTAGAAATCCTACTAAGGTTAAGTTCCTTCTTATCCCTGGGTTTAAAACAAGCCCCTCGAAGAGCTGTGGATGGTGGTGCTGTCTGCATCGTGGTGCCGGTGTGTCCCTCTCCGTGCCTCTTTGGGAAGATGGGGACTTGCTGCTCTGCAGACCCCAGGGCAGGGGCAGAAGCAAACTGTGAGCTCAGAGCTTGCCCCGTGAGCTGGGATTGCTTTAAACGAGACCCATTTCTCCTTGGAGTGAGTCAGTTCGGGGTTTTGTTGGGGTTTGTGGGGCTGGGGGTTGTTTTTGGGGTGCTGCTTTGATAAAATCCACATGCTACACCTTAAAAGCAGTTTGGGACAAGACAACTATGATCCACTTCAATGAGGCTCAAGTTAGTGCTTGTAAAAAGATCCCAGTTGACCAAAACAAACCCAGAACAAACCAAAAAAATCCGCTATACCTCCCGCCAAAAATCCAAACCCCCCAAAACCCACCCGTTTTGTGCTTTGTGCGCTGTGGGAAGTCACCTATTTGGCTGGGGGTTGCTATAGCACAGCTTGACCCCCTCAGTGGGATGCAGGGGGGTGCTCCAGGAGCCGCCGGGGTTGGGGGGAGGTTGGTGGGGCTGGGCCAGCAGCGCTGGGGCTGGTGGCCAGCAGAGGGGGCCCGGCCGTTTCGCCAGGGCCACAGCGGCATCCCAATCGTCAAGAAAAATCATCGTAATTTGATTAAAAAAAAAAAAAAGCTTAAAAAATTCCTACTCTGGCTCCGACGCCGGGGATGCCGCAAGAAGGTGTCTGTGTAGTCAGTCTCCACATCTGTGTGCTGCTTTGGGTTGAGTTGTTTTGCTTTATTTATTCAACCAAAGCGATGGAGGGGACGATGACAACAACTTGGAGTCGCGTTGGCTCCGTCATGGTTTGGGCATTTCTGTGGCTGAGGGAGAGGAGAGCGTCCTTGGGGGGTTTGGGCCAGCTGGGCCAGGTGCGGGTCGGGCTCCGAAATGCCGTGACAGGGTGAGTTGGTGACCCTGCTCTGGTGAGGACGGTGGCCTTTCGGTCCCCCCCGGCTATTTGGGACAGGGCCGCAGCGTTGCGTGCTGCTGGCGCTGGGCAGGCCCAGGACAGGCTGTCCCCATATGTTGGCTCGCTGTGGAACAGCAGCTCAATATTTTTATTATTGTCGTTCCCTGAGCCAGGCTTGTACTCTTTTGCAGAGAGGCCCCTCGTCCCCTTGTGCTCAGTCTCCTTCTCTGGTGGGATCCTCACACGGCCTCCGCTTGCGAGATAAAATCCAGCAGGTGCAGGACCACTTGTTCATAGGGTGTTTAGCCTCCAGCTGATGAGCGCTCGGAGATGGGTTGAAAGCAAAACTAAAATTTCATGTTTGCAGACACTTTGTTTGCAGTTGTGTTGTGGCCTCGGACTGCCTTTTTATATCTTTTTTTGTAAGGAGAAATTTTTATTCCCCCCTCCTTGTATTTTTAAGCACAGTCTTTTGAAATGGCTTTAAGATGAGATGCTTGCTCTCAGGGTCTAGCCACCTTCTTACTCTGAGGGTGGTGAGAGCCTGGCCCAGGTTGCCCAGAGAAGCTGTGGCTGCCCCATCCCTGGAGGGGTTCAAGGCCAGGCTGGATGGGGCTTGGAGCAACCTGGTCTGCTGGGAGGTGTCCCTGCCCAGGGCAGGGGGGTTGGAACTAGATGGTCTTTAATGTCCCTTCCAACCTGAACCATTCTGTGATTCTATGAAATCCAGAATGCAAATGTGATGCCATGGTACTTGCCATGCCGAAACTCTTCAGAGTCTATGAGAAGGTCTCTCAAGAGCTCAAGGTGCTGGGTGCGCCTTACTAGACCCTGCGAGCAAACATCTCCTCTTAAATCCAGTTAAGAAACAGGCTTAAAACAAGCCCCAGTCTGCAGAAAATGCCCTGCCTGGCAGCTAGTCCTTGCTGTTTTGCAGACTGAGGGTGTGAAAATCTCCAGTTTTTTGGCTGCTCTTGCACTGTGTATTTCAACGTATGCGTTGTGTTTCGAGTGCCTTTTTATTTAACGGTACCTCCACAGGCTTTGCGCTCCGGAGCCTTAACTTCAAATTTCCTGGCTGCTGGATGATGCATATTCCTGTCTTCATCTTGAATTCACGCTGAGACGGTGTCATATGCTTTTGAACGTATGTATATATTACAAAACAGTGTTAAATATTCAGTGTAGTAATCTGATGTTCCAGTTAATATGTGACAAATATTTCCCAATAATGGCTTGGCAGCGGGGAGAGCGGAGTGGTACTCCAGCCTGCAGGACGGCGGATTGCTCCACTTCTCGGCAATTCAAACCATGTGTACTTGGGGAAGCCGAGCATTTAAAATCCTCCCTACCTCTGCAGACTCAGCAACTCCAGAGGCTCTGTTGCAGCGCTTTTTATTATTTATATAATTTTAAAATTATTTTTATTTTTTACCCTAACGTTATACATAGGGAGCAGCTTTCTCCAGCTTGCTGTGGAAGTCTGGCACGATGCTTTCTGTGGTTTCCAGCGACTTGAAATAGCTGCCTAATTTTTACTGGTGTAAACCTTGTCTTCAAGTGTCACTCGCTATCTCCCTTCTCCCCCGCCTTGTCTCCCCAGGTAATTAGCACAACAGAATTTCCCTAATTGCTGGAGATCAAGGAGGAGAGGGCTCTGCTTGCTTTGTAGTCCTGACAAAGGGCAGATGTTTTCCAGCAGGCCAAATGGGATGCGCTGAGCTCTGTTAACGCCGGCTCTTTGTTTTGCACTCTTGCGTGATAGCAGCTCTCTAGTATTGCTCTCTTTTCACATCTTTGGTATCTGGGTCTAGTTCTGTGTTTCTGAGTCATGAGTCCTTCAGGACAGTTAAATAGATATGGAGAAGTATCAAATGACTATCAAATATCAAATGAAAGTGAGTATTTATTTTTTAAATTAGCGGTGATCTCTGCTTT